TAAAAAAAAAAAAAAAAAAAAACTCAGGAGATCTGGGCATGGTGGTGCATGCCTGTAACCCCAGCATTCCAGGAGACTGAGACAAGAGGATTGCTAAGTTCGAGCCCAGCCTTTGTGAATAACTGAGACCCTGTCTCAAAAAAGGCTAAGGATGTAGCTCAGGGTGAAGGCCCTGTGTTCAATGCCAGCCTGGTAGAAAAAACAACCACCAGGGAAGGTGCTGTGAGCAAGATGCCAGGGACTAGGAAGCCCTGCATATACTAATTCGACCACAGAACGTGGCCAGATTCCCTTTCTGACAAATCCGGGAAACCAGTCGAAAGTCTCTCATAACTCTCCATTAAGATGAAACCAGCCACATCAAGCTTGATAGGAAAATCAAAACCCTATAATCTCCACCTCCAGCAGAGTGTTGTATGATTGGAAAGAAGCCCCTGGCTCTTAGCTTTTCTCTGTGGGAAGAGTTATGCCATATGTTCATCTTTTTGGGGTTTCCCATGGCTTCTGTCTCATCTGTCTGAGTGCTGTGGTACCTGGAATATTTTAGCTGCTAGGATTGGGATGTAGCCCTGAAAACAAAGGAGGCAGTAAGAAGAGTATGGGTGTATTTTCCAGACTCCTTCTGCAGCTCACAGCAAAGCAAGCAGGTGAAAAACTTCAGATTCCTGGAGGTGAGATGATGGGAGAGTTGGACGACTTACTATTCAGAGTTTCAGCTTTTCTGGGGGCTGATGAGAGGATTGGCTTCTGTCTCATTGCCTCATATTGATGGCACCAGTCCATTTCTGATGTCTGGGACCTGCTGAGAACAGTGGTTTGGATTTGTGTGAATATTTGAGAGGCTCCTAGGATCCCTCCCTGGACTGAGTAAGGGTCTTTCTTTTGTATGAGGCCAGTTATCTGTAGAAACTGGAAGACCTGGCTACTTCTTCTAACACATAGATAAAAACAGCAGGAGTACAAGAATATGAAGAAACAGGGAAATACATTCCAAATAAAGGAAGAAAATAAATCTACAGAAACTGACTCCAGGAAAATGGAGATAAATGGTTTACCTGATAGAGAATCAACGAAGATCAGTGAGATCAGGTGAACAAAGCATAAACTAAATGAGAACTTTAACAAGATATTAAAAAGTACCAAACAGAAGAAATACTCAAACTAGTGAATAATTGACCCTAAAAATTTGCTAGAAGGGTTCAACAGCAGACAAGATCAAACAGAAGAGCAGATCAGCAGACTTGAATATACAGGTCATGGGAAAAGAATGGAAGTGTGAACAAACCTTGCAAATTTTATGGGGTACCGTCAGGTTGAATAATTACGGATTTCTTTAGTGCCAGAGGCGAGAAAGGGAAAGGGACAGAAAGGCTATTCAAAGAAATAATGGCCAAAGCATTTCTCAAATGTGAGGGAAGAAAGAGATGTCCTGACCCCTGTAAAATGTGCTCAAAGAAATTCCTATTGAAGCTCATTACCATGGTCAGCAGCCAAAGGTAGAAGGTTGAAAGCCTCCAGATAAAAGGGATTCAACACACAAAAGGAGAACCCTATAAGACTACTAGCAAATTTCTCCGTAGAACCCTTGCAGCCGGAAAGGGTTGGGATAAAAACG